TTTAATGACTGATTTAAGAAGCCGTTTCTACTGGTACATGCAACTCCACTTATAAAATGTTTTCATATCTACAATTATACATATATAAATTTTATCGTTCTTCAATTATTGAAAGTTAAATATAAGTTACCATTTAATGTAAAACCTCTTTTTAATGAATTCTAAAAAAATTGTATTCAGGGTTTTTTTTGTTGGTTCGGTTTCAAATAAAAGTTTTTTGACTTTTGGGAACCGGTTTTTAAGTTTTCTTTGGTATTGCTACCAAAGTATGAAGAATAGAAAATAAATGTCTTGATTTAATTGTGTTTACTAAATTTTGCCTAACATGAAGTCATTGAAACAACAACAACAACAACAACAACAACAACAAAATAATATTCAAGTTGTAAAAATTGGAAAAAATCACGTTTGTGCAACTAACAACAAAAAATCATCGGGATTCATGGAAGTTTTAGATGCTCTCTTGTTTAGGGTTATGGTTATAATAGCACGTGCCACTAACTATAATAGTTATCTGATGATTAACCTTTAAAATAGAACTCTATTTTCTATTATTACTTTTAGTTTTGCAGCAAAATGTCACTCATAAATTAAACATTAAACGGCACTGTCCAAAGTATAACAACTGAGCTTTAAAACTATTGAGTGCTATTCTATATACAATGCAAACATGACATGGAGCGTTATCTTTTTACACAAATCAATTCTTTAAAAAATTCCTTGTTGTTACTCAATGTGAAAACATATCAATAATAATGTTAATACTTAATAAAGGTCTCTCTTGTTTCCATTGTGACATTATTTGTGGTAAATGTAGCTGCAATAAAATATTTTGATTATTAAGCTAGTTTCATTACATTCTTTTTTTCTATTCCAGCGTTTCCATTCGTTTTTTCTACAACAAAGTTTGTTTATTTTAACCAAGTAGTTTTTTTTTTTAATTATTATGTGCATATTATTGCTGGTTTTTAATTCTGTTTTTTTATTTAATTTTCTTATTTTATATGTTTATTTGAATATTTATTTCTAATAAAACACACTTTTTACTTAAAAAATCTTTGAGATAGAACTCAATATATGTTGCGCAGACACTAATACAAACTGTTCTTACACAATTTTAATGGCTACCAATGGTGATGATGGCTACCAAGGTCTATGAATATAATTTATGAATGGTATTGATAAATAGTACTTACATCACTGTTCATTCATTTTAATCTTTTCGAGTTTTTGAGTTTTTATATATGTTCTGAAAAGAATTTCCAGAACATATAGGGATGATTTAAAAGCGGGGTATGGGGGTGTAGGAACATAAGGGATGATTTAAAAGCGGGGTATGAGGGTGCCAACTTATCTCCAAAAAAAGTCATATTCTACTTATAGTCGGATTGTTGCTTTTTTTTTATTAGGCATATAATAATTTTTCATATTTAATGTATACACTATTTATCATTATTATTTATTTGATTCAATCAACAAGTGCATAAAAAGGTTTATAGTTGAAATAAACATAACCATTCTGTCTGCTGCATACACAGCTGCGTTGCTACTGGTGCAGGCAACAAGCTGATTTTGTCTACGGTTAAGCAATAAAGGGTCTAGAGAGTAGACAATCCTAATTTTATAAACATATTTGTAACACTTGAGTACAAATGCTTTAAACTACTGTGTTTTTACCTTAACTGAGCATTTCTTAAACCGACTGATAAGAATATCTGTACGCGTATAAACACTCTAAAAAAAGTAAACGTTTCTAGTTTCTTGAATAGGAATTTAATAGAAATTCGCAGTTTCAAATTCCTATTACACTATTTTTTTTTTAATATAAGAAACCAAGTAAATGAACTTGTACTAAAATGTTTCCAAATCTAGTATTAAAATTTTCTTGAGAGTTTTTTAAGTTTTAGATTATCAAAAAAGAGAAAAAGTAAACAAAATACAATTTGAAAACATGTTAACATGTAAGATAAAATGCTTTACAATTAGTCAACTAAAATTATTTGAATTCATCAATGTAATATAATCCTCGGATTTGAACTTAAACAAAAGACGATGTTTTTCTAATTTTGTTTTGTACCATGTTATTCCACCGTTCGTAATATCCACGAATCTCCACGAAAGTCAAAAAACTTTTATTTGAAACCGAACCAACAAAAAAAACCCTGAATACAATTTTTTTAGAATTCATTAAAAAGAGGTTTTACATTAAATGGTAACTTATATTTAACTTTCAATAATTGAAGAACGATAAAATTTATATATGTATATGAAGAATCTGACAATTAAACAAAGACAACAAAAGATCAGAAAAAAGCGTAACATTCTTTTTCCAAAGATCAGAACTCATTTATAATCTGTCATCAACAAATTTAAAAAATTGTGAAATCTTCAGTCAAAAAATATGTTTTCAAAGAAGAAGATACAAAACAACACGGTCAAAAAATATTATTTAAGACAATTTAACAAGATGACAGGGTCGGACTGGCACTGAGGGGTCCGGGGTGGGGGAAACATAGATGGAGCCCTTATGGTAGCAAAAAATTTATAAAAAATACGTTAAACCCTTAATCACATTTTTTGTTAATAGGGTATAGGGAATTTCTAATAATGTGCATGCTTATTTCCATATCTTTAACCATGCCCTCCGTCCATTAATTTATTCGACACGTTTAAAAAAATTAATTCATAAGCAAGATTTTAAAAATATAAATTATTCTAAAATGCCGTGTCGCATCACTTTATTTGCTGCAAATTTTTGCCATGCTAAAATGGATTTATGGTTATGTAACCAAATACAATTTGTATTTTATTGTTTAAAGAGCATTGCCATAAATACAAAATTAAAAATTAAAAAATTTAATTTTAGTTTTATGATATAATGTTATATATTTTATTTTATTATAATATAAATTTTTTTAAATTATATTTAAAAAAAATTTGTAAACAAATTTTTTTTATAGGAAAATGAAAATTTTTTAGAATAACCCATTTTACCGTATTTAAAGCTGAACTTCAACTGTATTTTATTATATATTTTTTATAAATACAAAAGAATGAAAAATGTTTACTAATAAATAATAAAATTTAAAATAATAAAATCTCCAGCCCCATTAAATATTTCTGATTCTCTCTGGTTGGGAAGCATTGGCTTCTTATAAGCCAGTCCTTCCCAATAAGAGAGTATAGATGCAGAGAGGATAGAACCAGAGAGGATAGAACCAGAAGCAGTAAATGCTTATTATTATATTTATTAAAATCATTATTACGTATTCTGAATGTCTTAGTAAAATAATCATCATAAGGAGGAGGCCCAAAAAAAGTTTTGCACTTGCACATTTTTATCCTCTCTAGGACACTGGGCTTTTATAAAATAAATGCGTATGACTCAATAAAAATAAAAATTTAATGTTTTTTTGTATTCAATTAATTTTCTTAGTTTCTTACTCAAGATAATTTACTCTACCACTAATAAATAATAATCTAAGGCTTTACAATGTCTTTGTATATTTTATAGCATTTCATATTTTAATCGTAGAAATAATCATATTTATTGTATTGTCTTCGCAAAATTGATGCATATATACAATAATCAGATATTATTAACTTGTTTTTGTGTGTGTTTTATTTGTGTATCTTGATTTATAGAGAGTCCCAGGTACTTTAGGCGTAGCAGGGATCCAGGCAGGGGTGGGGGTAGAACACCCACAACCTCCCTCGCCAGTCCGACCCTGCAAGATGAAACACCTTATTGACAATGGTTCAGCGATTTCTTAAAATTAAAGATTAAATTGGTTTGTCCTGGGTGACATTTGTCCAAACCTCATTTATACCGAAGAAGAGTTAGAAATTTTGACTAACATTGCTAATACAAATAAACCAGTAAAATTAAAAGTAATCAGATTTTTAATATCATTTTTCAAGTTTGATGTTAAAAAACTAAACCGAAAAAAAACAAAAACGAGTACTTTCATCAAAATGAAAGAGGTGACAATCTATTTGGTGAATATATACAAATATTTGTCCAATCCAAACTGCCTTTATGAGACTGATGAGCATGACGTTTTCAACATGCCATTTAAAATCATTTATCAGAAATTTTCTAAATCCTTGCTTACAAGGTTTTTTCGACACAAAAGTTTAAATCTTGGCTCAAATGAAGAGTAGTAAAAAATCCAAAACAACAAAAAACAACTTTATTTACAAGAAGACTGAAAACAGGCTTGCTTCCATGGCTTACTTAAATTTTAGTAGATCATGGAAGAGGCTAGCAACATTTAGCAGAGGCATAACTCAAGTGACGAGTTTAAGTCTATTTCAGAAAAAACATTAGTCTTTTAAGTAATAAGCAAACTAACTGAAAATCTTGAGCTGTAATTCAAAGCTCTTGAAACAATTCCACCAACAAGTGTTGAATCAGAGCGAAAATTTTTAGTTGCTGGACTATTTATTACAAAAATTCGATCAAGAATCTGCGAAATCTGCTTGACACTTTGTGATTCCTGAAAGTTCAATTTTTTGTTAAAAATAAACAACCGCTGTTTAGTCTTTCATTTATTGCAATTCATTATAAATCCAGGGGAAAAAAAATCTAATTTCATATATTTTTAATTTTACAATTTTTTTTAAACATTTATTGATAAATTCCTTAATTTTTCCCAATTTAGAAGCTGTTAAAAGCTCACACACACAAATATATATATATATATATATATATATATATATATATATATATATATATATATATATATATATATATATATATATATATACATATATATATATATATATATATATATATATATATATATATATATATATATATATATATATATATATACATACATATATATATATATATTTATATATATATATATATATATATATATATATATATATATATATATATATATATATATATATATATATATATATATATATATATATATATATACATTTTTATTTTACCCAAAACAAAAGCTACAGGAATAAAACGTTCTTACTAAGGCATATTCTCTTTGACTGTTCTTCAGGGCCAATGCTATGATAGCCATTTTTGCAAAAGCATTTATAACTGTCTCCAGTTGAGCCACAAATCGCATTTTTGTGACAATAGTTGTGTGAGCACGATGTAAGTTGGTCACCTAAATATAAAATAAGCATGTAAAATTTTGTATTTCAAAAAATTTATTTAAATTACAGCTATAAATACAAAGTATGTATAAGTGAAGTTTATATACAAGTAAAATATAACACAATATAAACATAATGGTATTAAAAATGAAATAAAAACTAAAGTAAAATAATTTTACCTTTGAATATTGAAAAAACTAAGAAAAGAATGTGAAAGCCTAATAACTTCATACTTTTTCAATAAAAATGTTGAAGATATTTGAGGAAGATTTGTCCCAGATACTTAATCAATTTTGGGGAACTTAGTTACGCGTAACTAAGCAGTTTAAATCATGCTTTTGAATTTTTCTATAAAAAAACTTTTGAAATAATGAGGAGGCTATAACTCTTTTATTTAATTTTAGACTTAGTTTTTTTATTTTAAATATTTAGTTTTGTAAATGACTTTTTAACAAATGTTTTCTTTTTTTTTTTAAATAAAATTTCCTTTGGCGATCTTTTTAATTTTGCTGAATATTTTAATATTCTATATTTTTGTTTTGTTGTTAAAACACAAAGTCGATAAAACATATTAAAAAAAATAATAAATAAATAAAAAAACGCAAAAAATAATGGACATTTTCTTACTTAATACAACATTTTAAACAACTTTTAAAAGCAATTTTAAAAAGAGTTTAAATGATCAGAGAACTCGTCGTTTAAAGAAATAACAAGAGTTATTTGTCATGTCTAAGACCAGCAATCTTTACTTAATAACAGCTTCATTTTGATTAGCATGATTTTTCATAACAATTAGTAGCAACTTGATGGAACGATAATTAACAAACAGTTTTTCTTTTATAAATACTACAAATAATCAAATTGTTTTCAATCGTTAAGTAAATTTTTTTAAGCTTAAAGTTTTGAACTTCTTGTTTTTTTTTTGTTTTTTTTTTTATGTTAAAATTTTTAGTTGTTATTAATGTGGCTTGATTTTGGAGTTAAGTATAAGTTGAATAAAGGATTATAATACTATTGTAACAAAGAACGTTTTTATTACGAGGCTATCGTGAATTCGAGACGAGATAATACCTATATAATTATCGTATAAGTAACTTACGTAATCGACATTGCATTTGTTGTTTTTAACATTTAACTCACACTTTTCATTAAATTTCAAAACACTTTGTTTTGATTGTTTTTTCTATGTTCAAAATATTTAACTTAATTAAAATTCAAAAAATATTTATTTTTTTGAGTTTAATTAATTAAGTTAAATATCTAGAATATTGCCTAGCGGCGATACCTAGGGTGTCCATTGTCAAGGTTTTTACGTAGCTGAACTACGTAAAAACCTGAAATATAATTTAAATTTTATAATTTTTTAAAATTTAAATTTTCATTTTGTTTTTCAACGTAAAAACTAGGACAAGGGTCGCTCTAGCAACATAAGAAAAATAATATCGGAAAGCCAATTGAATTGCATAAGTGAAATAATCGTAAAATAGTAAATGCGTCTTTTTTTTAGTGGTTGTATAGATAAATTTTTAATTGTGTTTGCATTTTCTTTACATCATGTTGCGGGAATAGAATACAAACACAACAAGTAAAAATGCTTAGTTATTATTATTATTAGTTATTATTATTTTTAGTTATTATTATTATTAGTTATTATTATTATTAGTTATTGTTATTATTAGTTATTATTATTATTAGTTATTATTATTATTAGTTATTATTATTAGTTATTATTATTATTAGTTATTATTATTATTAGTTATTATTATTAGTTATTATTATTATTAGTTATTATTATTATTAGTTATTATTATTAGTTATTATTATTAGTTATTATTATTAGTTATTATTATTATTAGTTATTATTATTATTAGTTATTATTATTATTAGTTATTATTATTATTAGTTATTATTATTATTAGTTTTTATTATTATTAGTTATTATTATTATTAGTTATTATTTCTTATTCGATTTAATTTACTTATTTTAGGGATTAAAAAAAAAAACTACAATGTTTTAAAATTTAAAATTAAATTTTTATTAATTAATAATTAAAAATATGAATTTTAAAATTTAAAAAACTACAATTGCAGGATTATTTATACGTTTCGAATATTATCTTTCTATTATCTCATATCTCTGACAATAATGTTGACACGAAAGTACTGGGCAATCATTAGACAACAACTAAAGTACTAAAGCATTTGCTCAAAAATTTTTGCAAAAGCCTTTATCGTAAAAACATCAGCTAGTTATAATTATAGTTAAAGGTTATACCACTAAAGCAAGTGTTCAAAATTTTATTAACTGTCCACAGCTTCGGCCAAAGTTTTTAAGTGAAAATCAGTTCAAACATTTTTTGATAAACACTTTCGACTTCAAACTAGTAATAATTTTTTGTGTCTGTTCGGTAAAATATCTTTCGCTTTTTGTTTTTGTTTCGTAACACGAATCCCATTGAGCATAGAGTCAAGCAGATTTCTAACGGAGTCGTTAACCGTCCTAATCAAGTCATAACGTCTTCTAAGGATACTTCCACTTAATTTCCCTTCTTATAAATTCAATTAATAATTTATATTATACTACAAACCTCAAACATTTTAAAAACCATGTAAACATATTAAAAATAATAACTAAATAAAAAAACTGTTAATTGCAAACTACATAAACGTTATTAACTCTTTTAGAGTTTTCAAATATATAATTACACTCCTTCTAGATCCTTAAGGATCACACATCAGTCATGGCTGTCATAGATTCATCAACTTTTTCAGATATTCAATTGTTTTATGTTCTTTGTTCAACGATCTTCGTTCTACGGCCTTTGTTTTACATTTTTCATTTTACGATCTAAACTCTCCAATTTACATTCTTTATTCTTCTGTTTTGGACCGTTTTTCTCTTTAGACCGGTTAGTTCACAATAAACACAAGAAGAAATTTGTCATATTTTTCTATCAAGTCATCGAGCTAACATCCACTTAACTTCCCTTCTTAAAAATTCAACCAGTAGTTTATGCTATACAAATATTCTTTTGAAAACTGTGTTAACATATTAAAAATAATTACTAATTAAAAACTATGCTGATCGCAATAAGGGGAGCCAAAAAAATTAAAAAGCCAAAAAACCATTTCTCCTAAATATGTTATATATTTTTTTAGGGGTTGTCCAAGATTTTAATATTCCTAATATTATAACAAAACAAAGTTTTTCAAAAATAGTTCAATCTGGTACTAAGCGAAGCTAAAAAGTAAAAAAAAAAGTTTCATTAAAAAGTGTATTCTTTTAGATGTTATTGCATAAAAAATGACTATTTAATTTTTAAACTAAAAATGCACTTTTTTTCATTTTTATCTTGATTAAGATTTAAATTTAAATAGACAGTAACGAAAAACCTTTTAATGAATGATTTGAATATATATTGAATGTTTAATGAATATTTGGTATTGAACCATTTTTAAAATGATATCTATTCAAAAATATTTTAAATAATATCATTTTTAAAAAAATATCTATATAACCATTTTTTTAAATAATATCTTTTAAATAATAAAATAAATAAGTTTAATGAATATTTAGTATTGAACCATTTTTAAAATAATTTTTAAATAATTTAATAATATTTTTCTAAGTTACTTAAAAAATATTTCTATTGCATCAGAAGCCCGAAAACAATATCCTTGTTGATACTATTGTATTTTATACTTTTTTAGCCAATACGATTACTGCAAAATATTTTTAATTTATTTAAATCTAAGAATCGTCAACAAATGTACATATTTGTTAAAAGCATGTAAAAATATGCATAAGACCAAAAATTCAAGTTACTTAAATGTTATGAGTCATATATTGATATTATCGATATATTTTATTATTTATTGATATTGACCCAACATTCTGCTTGAGTAGTTTCAGTTATGCCATGATGAAAATTTCAAAACAGAAGATATGGCTTGAAATAAAAGAAAAAGTTTAAAAGGTTGACAAGTTTCATTAAAACTATTAGTGTTTCTCATAAGCAATTAACTTATGTTTTTAATTATTGTGTTTATTTCCTATGGCTTTTGAGCATCTCTAATAGTTGTTAATTTTAAAAATTTATTTTGCAATTTTAACTTTGTTTTACTCTAATTATGTTTTATTTACTTTTGTAAATTTGTCTAATTATATATAAGTTATGTTTTTTTTAATAAATTTTAATAAAAATTGTAAAAAGTTCCTGAAAATTTGTCAAAGTAAACCTATATTGAAAAAGTGGCTAAAAAAAGCACGTTGACAAAACATTATAAAAAGTCAATATTGAAAGTTTTCATTTTTTTTCAGTTTTATTTTAAAAACTTTGTTATAAAAAAAACGACAACTAGATTACGACTCCACCGTTTTGATACCGTCATTGTTCTAGTACATCTCTTATTGAAAACAAATTACTTTTTTTATGTAGATACCAAATTGATTCATAATTAAACACTTTAAAAAAATAAAATTGCACTTTTTAGTAATGAGGAAAAAAAAAACAAAAAAAACAACAGTAATATAATCTTCCTAATTGTTTTTTAACTGTACAGCGGTAGAAAGTTCAAATTAGTGAAATTTTTTATTTATAGAAAGTTTATTAAAAAACGAATAATTTTGTTAAAGAAACAAGTAGAAGTAAATTAGACAAACAAGTAACACTTTCTTATCATATATATTTCTTATTTGATACATAACATGTTTTAAATTTTTGCACCACAAAAGTATTATTTGTAGATTGTATTTGTCTAAAACACAAAAAGAATCATTATGTTTATTTATTTTCTTCCCCACTGTTTCTTTTGGTATTTCTCAAAGAAATTCACAAGAGTCTGGTCTGGAATGGAACTCTCTCCTTTTGTTTGCATAAACACATTTTTGTGAAAATTTTTACATCGCAGAGGATTTGATTACAAATATCTACAACCTCTTTTTTAAATCACTATACAGTACAACGATAGAAAGTTCGTAGCATTCAGTTTTCATTCTTTTGAGCCATTTTAATATGGTTTTATTGACTTGATGAATCAATCTTCACACTTTTTGATAAATTTTAATATGGTTTTATTGACTTGATGAATCAATCTTCACACTTTTTGATAAATTTTTTTATAAAGACGTCAAAGATTTTATCTTTACTCTTATTCCAGGTAGAAAAAAAAATTCAAAAAAAGTGTTTAATGAATCATCCAATCATTTCTCATCATTATGAAGGTAAAGAATTATTTGCTTACGCTTTGTTTTAATAACTAATAAGGAGAGTTGTTAAAAAGGCAAAAAATAGCAAGACCAAGGCCTGATGTTTAAAGCCAAGAGTTTCAATACCAAGGTCTACGCAAACATTTTCAAGCTCAAAAACTTAAATTT